CGCAACAGGCGAGTCAGATCACGAATTATCTCAAGTGTAACTCAAACAATACATTGTTTTGCGTTCACAAGCCCTGAAATAAGCCACAAGGTATATGCTTCCCGTTTCTGTATATTCACTTAAAGTGAACTCTGTTTTGGACATACGGATACAATAAAAGGTCGGGGATAATAAACACTGCTCAAAAAGCACCGTTTCCCAAGAAGCTATAGACAAAAGCCCGTAATAATTAAGCCTCGACCGTGGTAATTATGACATATGTAGCAGCAATAATAAACTGATGACAGTTATGGTGTATTTTTACGAGCGGTTGATTAACCTCAGCAGGTTTATGAACCTCCTTTTGATGATCAGAGTTCACTTCTGAATGTAAAATATGTGCCGTTTGAGTTGCACTTGAGATTTTTTACCCACAAGAGTATCACAGTTTATACGGAAACACTGAAGCTGTACGAGATGGGTCAAATGATTTTACGATACGGGCACATTGTTTAAACCTTCTCCAATTAACGTGCTGCAGCATGCAACCCCCACACTTTCTTATTACTTCAACGCTTGCAACATCAACATTTGTAGAAAATAATTATTTTCAAAATCCGTTGATTTCAGAATATCCTGATACTTTTTGGTCTGACCCGCCTATTGCGGCGTGACTAAATAATTTGCGTCTAGGCTAAAGGACTACGGGTTTTGGCTCAATGATTGCGGGTTTTGGCTAAAGCTTGATGGGAAAAGGTGTAGACGTTAGCAAAGCTGCCTACCACGTAACGATCTCGGGTGACATATATAATTACATAGGGCGGACCCGTCGACAAGAGCAAAAGCGGTCCTACTGTCCAGGACTACGATTTTGATACACTTGGTGGTAGCCGGTAGAGAGTTGAATTTTGATCCGTGCAATCGCGACCGAGGTGAAACCCGGTATGCTATTCGCCACCTTGGAGCTCGCGTACAGAAAGCCTAGGGAGACCAACGGACACGAATTTATGATGCGAATGGAGACAGACTAATCCTGTGGTGCTTGGAGCACAGAGAACGACCACCTTTTTCAAGACCAGAACAATCACCGATTCGCCCCAGAGGGTGGGAACTGTTAAACAAACGCTGAGAACAATCAGTCAGCTCTTTTACGAAAGACAATGCGTCATCTTTAAAAGTACAGGGTGGTTCCGATCTAATCCATGTGCTTTGTGGGGCATGGCAACTTTCAAATCGCCGGTATTGTCGAAGAGGAGACGAGTATAGACCACTCTGGTAAAGAGGAAGTACTGCGTGCATCAACATGCGACCAATTAACCTGTGCGTCAGTATTCTGTTCAGCTGTCTGATCGACACTGCAGGCTGATGATTGGCGTTCCATCGGCCTTAAAGATTGTCTCGCCTACGTCCATTTTGAGCATTCCGATAAATCGGAGGAGGAAACACATACCCAATGTAGTGGTACTGCTGAAAGACGATACTGAAATCCAAAGTGTAGATAGACAAATAAAATTCCATGAAATAGCAAATTTCGCGTAGTCGTAGTGTTAAAAATAGCCATTTTTGGTTTACTCACATCGAATAGTTCAAGTTAAACATGTTGAACTTGCAAATCTATAACAGCCAATTCGTGAATAATAACCGTCCAAAAAGAGAACGAATTCATAGGAACACAAACAGAAGTGAAACAAGTGCGTCGTACTGTCACACCAGTTTGCACACGGGCATACACAGTCTGCATGACCAGTTTAAGTAGTGTATCGTACCTTCTCCAGCTGCTCAAAGTAGGCCTGAATTGAATCACCCGATACACCTTTGGACTTGCGGTTACTGCGGGGACCGAATAGGAAATTCTTGAGATCAGGCCAACGATTGAGAAATGCGTAGAACCAAGCTTGGCTCGGGTTAAGATATTTGAAAGGCGCGATCCGGCCGACAGCTTTCGTCATATCGCCGGCTAGTTCGACAACCTACCGAAATTTCAGACACAAAGCAGTGAGATATTAGGACTGCATGTGGAGAATCTTCTCAATAAGAAAACTGTCCATTATGAGAATGAAAAATTCACGAATTGTGCAGTTTTCGAAAGAAAGCTACAGATAACCCTTGGGCCAAATATGGGTCGTAACGGCAGCCATAAAGTAGTCTGTGCAGAACACTCGAGACAATGGGACTAGGCACCATATTGCAAACAATCCAAAACGATTCACTATACAATACAATACAATACAATACAATAGTGATAGTGAACATCAAATATGAGACATCCAATGCTACATTCATTGACCGTTTCGTTTTAAATGCACATGTGAGCATATAATATGAAAAGATCAGTGGTAAGTTCGCTTCGTTGACATTTATTGAGTATAAAATGGTACAGTCAATTTCCAAGGGAGACTACAACCGATCTGAGGCTGTCTGAGGACAGAGGTGGGAAATTCGGGCGACGGTAATGGGATTTAACCACGTGACCTCTGGACGGACACCGGCTGACGACCACACATGAACTATAAAACCATCGTAACAATCAAACTAACCCAGTCGAATCAGCAAAGCGTGGATAAATAACACTAAAGTGGAAAACAGTCCAATGGCGAGAAACCGTTGGATAAAAAAGATCTTGAATAACCGTTGAAATTGCATAGATGTGACCTCGATCCCCTGTAGCAAATCACGTGCTTGAAAAAGCGCAGCGCCGTCTGCAGCCTAATTATATGCTGAAACCAGCATG